TTAAAATGTTTCTTTTTATGGAAAACCTACCAAACCCTCGATTTGAGTCTAGGTACACCCGAGTGTATGCCTGAGTCCCTCAAACCAAGGCTCTGATACCAACTTATAACATCCCAAAAATACAGATAAAAGTTTTGTTATAGTTTTATTCAAATCATAAAACACTAATATTAAAATAGTCAAAAGAGTATCATAGTAACATATTATCAGAGTACGAATTCCCAAAATCTCTAAATGCAGAAACCATAGGGTGATGCGGTACGATCAGGCCGGGCTTTCCCCTTCGAACTGGAAATACCTGAAACATAAACTTAAACTGTAAGCACAAAGCTTAGTGAGTTCCCACAAAATCCCACATACTAAACAAACATACTGCCAAGCATATCTGGGTGCTTGTCTACCCCTTCGGTCTATTTCAACCGGATACTATCAAGCATATCCGGGTGCTTGCCTACCCCTTCGGTCTATTTCAACTGGGTAATATCAAGTATATCTGGGTGCTTGCAATCCCCTTCGGTCTATTTCAACCAGATACCGGGTCTATTTCACCCCCTACTATTACCACATAATATAATAAAGGGAATCATAGAGTCATCAAGAAAATACAGGCATAAGTGACAATTGTCACAAAGACAATCATCACACTACATCATAAACTAGTGGTTCGGCATTGGTGCCTTCGACCCACAAATACTACGAAGGAAGACCCACCTCAGAATGAAGATATCAAATCGCACTCGGCAGATGACTCGCGAAATCCTCTTCCTAACGCACAAGCATAAAACCCAAATTAGAAATTAGGCCACATTCTGACTCGAAGTTCCAACCCCTGATTCTTAAATTAAGACAAAAAGGGCTTCTTTACCCTTGCCTCATTGGGCCTCCCTCCCTCTAAGGCCCAAATCTATACAAAGTCCAAAAAGGCATCCAAGCCCAAATATAAAGCCTCTAAGGCCCAATATGGCCCAAGAACACCTAACATGGCCTTAGGCCTAAAAAATGTCCTGTTACAGCAGGTGGGCCTGAGGCCTAACCTAAACAAGTCCAAAAGCACAACACTAATCAAGCCCAAAAATCATCTAAACCCACAGATTGCGTACGCGCGACGTACACGGCTCGTACGCCCAACGTAAGTTGATGGCCATCTGGAATCAGGGCACTGACCGAGTACGCGCATCGTACGCTATAGTACGCCCAGCATACTGGTCATTCATCAAAAAATGCTCCCATGACTTAATCCCTTAAGCCGTGCGTACCAACGTACTGGTCGGTCGGTACGTCGGGGATCACCCGATGAAGCGCATGCAAGGAGTACGTCGTGCGTACCAAATGTACGCCCAACGTAATCACGAGTCCCCCACCACCTTTTTTACTTGAATTTGAATAGAATGAATCATTAACTCATACCTGGCGACTCGGGTGCTACAGTTGGAACATAGTATATGTATGTCGGGCCATAGGTTAACTATAGTTTTTACTCGAATAATAAGAGGTGTTTGTAGAGTACTGTTTATGTGTCGAGAAGTAAAATTATGGCACCATAAGCGTTTTAGGTTGTCTTAGGAATGTATATCCATTTGGTTTATAATGGATAGAATAACCAATGAAATGGTGGTCATTTATGGCAAGAAGATGATCGTCTTCTTAGAGTACTAGTTTGGGGGTTTCAAACTAATGAGTCCCTGGTTTTGGGAAATTCTCACAAGGATTTAGATTATGGTTGTTGTTCTTGGAGTGGGGTAATTATAGGTTGTTGACCTTTGATGATTGTATAGTGTGGTCGAAGTGTCATGTCAGGCAGAATCGTGTGTGTGTTTTGATAACCCATGAAGGAATGTGTGGGAAGTAACCATAGTGATTTGCAGAGGCGAATTTCGAGAGTGAAATCCAGTTAAGTGGGGGAGAGTTGTAACACGTGTTTTTTTGAATATGTTCTTTGGTAATTTTAATGAAGTCGTGTAAACCTTAGATCCATCAAGGGTCACCTCAATCCATTCCATGTAGCCTTATTACCACATAATAATGTGTGATCCATGTAAAGATTATAGTATACAACTTTTATTAAGCGATTCTTTAAACTTATCTTGGTAGTAACTTCCATCCATTATGTCTTGGACACATTCCAACATCAAAAAGAAAAAAATGGTGCCTACTTACGTGTTCGAGTCTTGAATTGGTTCGGACTGTGTTAAAAAATATTTTGATTGGTGGTAACTGTACAAAAATAAATAAATAAATAAGGTATGTTTCCTTAACAAGCGGTCCTCATTAGGCTAAACGGTATCGTAAATTATTCACGGGCGGTATGCTGATGTGTCGCCTTTACCGCCGGTAAACACCGGGTCACAACAATTTTTTTACCGGCAGTGGGTTTCTATTGGGGGTAAAAGTTTGAAATTTGACCGTTTGAAAGGAAGGGAACGTTGCCAATGGTTGGCAACGAATAGTTTTACATTTTTTTTAACAAATTTACTATTACCTATACACTAGTTGTGAGACCTATGTATTACATGAGTTAATTTAAAAAAAAAAGTTAGATATAAACGTTTAAATATTTGAGAACTTTAAATTTATAAGAAAATACGAAAAATAATAAATTATTAAAATTGAAATGTTTTTTTTATATTTTAAATTTAAACAAATTATTTAAAAAAAATAAACAAAATAAAGTAATGAGCTTTAATTTGAGAATTTTAAAATTAGAAGTAAGTTCATTAATGAAATTGATATTAATTTATTACTACATTTATTGTAATTATTGCATTAAAAGATTATGTGAAATTTAATAAAATAAGAAACCCCATAAAATGACACGTGGAAAAAAGTTAAATCAAAATAACCAAAAAATGACATTTGGCAAATTGAATGAGAATATGACATGTGGAAAAAAAAACATTCATTTATTAGAGAGGATACCATTCTTCCAACATATTACCAAATTACATACTCTTTACACACATTTTATTCAAATTGTCTTCTAACACCCCAAACTCTTCCAACCCAAATGCTTCAAACCAAAATGCTTCCAACCCATTTGCACTTTTCGGTTACGATCCGACATCATAACCACCTTACCGGACACAAATAGATCAATCTCAAAACCAAGCGTTTGTAGGCGGTGTTCCAAGCTATTATTCACAATTCTAAATGTCACAACAATTTCAATTCTAATCCCTACCACCCCGAGCAACATCCCAACCTCAATCGCAAACCCAATTCCAATTTCAATCCCAACCGTCTTTCACACCTTCAACCGAAATTCTTTCCGATTCCGAACACGAAGAATAACAACCTGAAAAAAAAGGGAAGGCCGATCCGAGAAGATGGACACAAAAAGAAGAAAATTGTGTTAGCATATGCATGGGTCTACATATCCGAAGATGATGGCACGGGAAAGGGTCAAAATTGTGATCAATTTTGGTTACATATCACGGAGCGGTTTTGTAAGGGAATGGGTTGAGATCTAAATTATCGGACCTCCGACCAATGTAACTCGAAATGGAATCTTGTTAACAAACTCGTGACACATTGGAATGAAATTTACACAAACTTTGAAAAACAATGGACTAGCGGAGAAAGTGAAGCGAGTTTGTTGAAAAAAACGCATGCTACATTCCAAGATGATATCTTTTAAGTTTATTCATGTGTGGGAAGTTGTCAAAAGAAGCATTAGGTGGAGGGAGCTTGCAACACATGAAGAAATTGCTAATCCGCCAAAAAGAAGATGAACATCTTCATATTCGAGCTCACAATAAGTTTCATCGGATGGTCACGTAGGCGTTAATCTTAATGATGATAACGACGACATCGAAGAAATACGCTCGCCTCCTCCTCCAATGGGAAGGGACAAAACAAAAGCTCGAGCAAGTGGAAAAAGGAAAGCTACATCTTCAAATTCGTCGGTCGGAACCAAGCGGTCAGCCTGGTCGGAGGAAATGATGGCACAAATGACACAATTGAATTCAACTTTGGAGAGGTATATGGCTAAAACTGTCCGACTCACATAATATTCGTTGTTAATGCAAGATGTGAGGCACCTCGACCCCAAAGACCAAGAGGCGGCTAAAGCGGCGAAGGAGTCGATTCGCAAAAAATATAAGCTAAACCGCAAATGAAATTTCGATGTTATGTTTTCTTTTCTAGGTCTTTTTTCTTAATTTTTCACTTTATGGTTTATTTTTATTTTTATTTTTTAGGTCTTTAATGTAATTTTTAATTTCATATTATTTTTAATTTTTAGGATTTGTAAAATGTAATTTTTAATATTATGCTATTTTTATTTTTAGTATGGTTTTTAAGAAAGTTCATCTTTTTTTTATTGAAATTAAAAAAAAAATCATAGGTAAACCATTTACTACATCTTAGTTCGTAGGTAAAAACTGTAAAAACTATAAAAGTTGATTTGATGCCTACGTGACACATTTTTACCATTAACAAAAATTACACCATACCTTTTAGCCTTATTATCCATTCGGTGTCTAATCATGCCCAAATCAGTTATAAGAGGTTCCCGTTACCTTGTATGTCATGGACCAAAGTAATTTCGTAAATTTAAAAGTATTTAGTAAATTTTATTTTGCGATATAGATAATTATTCATTTATTTTATAATATTTTTGAGAAAAAAAAAATACTATCACTTGTAATATGTAACATACTGTTTTAGCCATTTCAGTAGTTAAGATTTTTATTTTTTGTGCTGATTAAGCTAAGAACAAAATATCATACCAACAATAAAAAATTGCTAACACCTTTTGATACTGTTGTCTGTCGTTCGTCAAAATAGTCAAACATCTCTCAGATTTGATGTATTTAACTCTAACCTGTAACCACGACACATTTCACCTTCCTCTCCCCTTCCTTGGTGGGTCCGGTCATACACACCAAACTTCTTCTATTTCGTACGTATACTGACACCACTCTCCTTAAATAATCTCTTTACTTCTCCTTCAAACTTCAATTCACCTTTCTTTTCCTTTAACCAACTTTCGTTTTTCCCCTATGATTTTCCTCAACCCATTCGCTTGCTTTGCAATCTCTAAAAAAGTGGCGGCTTGTGCTAGCGAAGATGGTGTCGGCAGCTATAGCACCACCGAAACCACTCCTACAACCTATGTAAAGAAGTTTTCATGGGAGGAGATAAAGAAACACAGCAGGAATTTCTCCAGGGTTATCGGCTCCGGCGGGTTCAGTACTGTCTTCCTTGCTCAACTTCCAGATTCCGGCTTCACCGCCGTCAAGATCCAATCGGCTTGCACCGAGCGGCTAGCCGGGATTCACGACCAAGAGCTTCAAATCTTGCTCCGGCTAAAACACCCAAACATCGTCAAGTTTCTTGGACACTGTGATGATAGAGAAGAAGAGCGTGTGCTTTTGTTTGAATATGCATCGAAGGGTACTTTACATGATACGCTTCACGGATGCAACACCCAGACGCTGACATGGAAAGCCAGAACATCGATCGCTTTCCAGCTTGCGGAAGCTTTAGAATATCTTCATGGGATGCAGATTATTCATGGAGATATCAAGGCTTCTAATATACTTCTAGACGAACAAGAAAATTGCAAACTTTGCGATTTTGGGTCAGCTAAATTAGGGTTTACTTCCATGGTTTTACCTCCATCTTCAACGAAGAGGAACAGAATGATAATGGGTTCACAAGGTTACATCGATCCACATTATATGAAAACTGGATTAGTTTCAAAGAAGAACGATATTTACAGCTACGGGATTGTTCTTCTAGAACTTATTACAGGGAGAGAAGCGTTTAGTTTGGAGAGGAAGGAAACGTTGGTGGAGATTATTGGTCCGGTGGTGAGAGGGGTGGTGGGAGTTGAAGAGGTGGTGGATCCACGGTTGCGAGGGGCGGATTTGAAAGAGGTGAAGGCTATGGTTTCCATGGCAGAGATGTGCATTGGTTCTTCACCCATGGTTAGGCCTTGTGCAAACGAGATTGTAGCATCCATGAGAGACAACTTTGAATCCATTTCTCATTTGTAAAGATGGTGATGATGAGATTAGAACCCGATTCTTGTTTGTAAATTAGTATATATATTATTGGTTTTGTGGTTTTAGATGATGTGATTGTATTGGATCTTCCTATTCTATCATCAATCATCGATTCTGGTTTGTGAATTCATACATATTTATTATACATGTTGTTTTGATGCAAACATAAATATTTTACTTTTTGATAGCTTTTCATAGTTACTGTTTCTTTTTATTGTTTATGGTCTTTCATTAATGCATGTTGACGTTATTAAGCGTTTAAACGGGATTAAAAAAATGGAACTAGGATGAGTAGAAAATGACCAAGTCATTAATTAATTAAATAAATAAAGTTATTGATTAAAAAAGCAAAATGATGATGGTTGTTTGAACAAAAGAGATTTTAAAAATGTACTTTTTGCCTTATATTATTACTAACAGTTTAAAACGTGAATTAAGAAGTTAGGGAAAATAAAGAATTGGAAATAGAATGAGTAGAAAATGACCAAGTCATTAATTAATTTAATAAATGAAATTATTGATTGAAAATGACACTGGAACGAACATCAAGTCATTTTCATTTACTTTCTACTTCTAGCGCTTCTTCGATTATTATTAATTTCTTTTAGTTGAACATTCAAATCAAAGTAAGCGTGATTTGCGACCAAGTAATTTTCACTTTTTGTTTTTAACTTAGTAATACAAAAACTATTAATACTACTATTTCGTCAAGTGCTTGTAAAATTGTTTTTATAGAAAAGAACTTACTTTATGACAAAAAATAAATAAATAAACATTATGAACACGGTTTAGCGTATGTATTATACATTTCTCACTTTTAAACATTTTTGTGTAACCTCAACACTTTAATTTACACTCAATTTTTTTTTAATTATTATTATTAGTTGTGAGACCTATATATTAAATGAGTTTATCCAAAAAAAACATAAACAAACATGAAAATCTAACAATATAAAAATTTAAATTTATAAGAAAAAAAGAAAAATATATAATTATTAAAATTGAAATGTGTATTTATTTTTTAAATTTAAACTAATAATTTAAATAAATAAACAACTAAAACAATTAGATTCAATTTAGAAATTTAGAAATTATAAGAAAGTTGTATTAATAAATTGGATATACATTAATACATTTATTACATTTAAGTATAATTATATGAAATTTAATAAAAAAAAACCACAAAATGACACATTGATATAATTTAATCTAAATTTACCATAAAATAACATGTGGCATAATGCATAAAATGATGACAAGTGACAAAATTATTTTCATTTATTAGGTAGGACTAGGTATGACACCCGTGTACTACACAGGTTTATTAAAAATAAAAAAGTTTAATATCAATATGTAAACATTAAACATTTTATAAAATAATTGAAAAAAAAAAGTAAATCAATGAGTTTGTAACATTTATGTGAATTTATTCACAAATTAATAAAATGATAATTTTACATGCATAAAATAAGAACGAGGGCCGGCCCAAGGCATGTTCAAAAGGTGCCCATGAACAGGGCCCACCAAAATCCAGGGCCTAAAATTTTACTGATTATATCTTAGCTCGTCTACAGTTTTTTGCACAAATGTGCAAATAGGTTAAGCAAGAACAATGCACAGATTACAGATAGACGCAATCGACTAAGCGGGAAGTGGAATCAGATTTTTTCTGGGGAGAAGAAATGGACGCTTTGGTTCCTTCATCCTCGACATTGGGAATCAGAAATCCATCCTGCACCAATTATTGTTATCGCAGGTCATTAAGACAAAAACGGTATTCTTTGATCTTATGATATTTTTCTTATTAGTTGATTGCTTAAAGCCTTGAATCCAGAAAACTCATTCAGAAGAAATCACTCGACCATCAATACACATTCAATCGATTTCTGGTTTTTTCTTTTTACTTCTTTCGTCATAAATCAGAAGAGAATACTCAATACTAATAACCCAAACGAAATTCATCAGCAACAATCTTCTTTTGCTCAATTGCTTCCTATTTCAGTGCATCACAAGTAAATTGAAAGAGGAACAGATGTTTGAAAGTTTTAATCTGAACATAGGGAAGAAAACCAAAAGGTAAATAAACTTTTGTTATTATTATTTTTTATTCCAGGTTTCTATTCTTGAATTCTGCTTACTATTTAGACTTTAGAAGTAAATCATTTTTTTTCATTATTTTTATTCTTTTTTTCTTGAATCCAGATAGTAGCATTGAAACAAGTTAAACAACAATATATTGATTTGACTGTCAATCAGGATTTCTAATATTTTGGTTGTCTTGATTCTTGAAGGGTTGAAAATCAGAAGTCAGAAGGTATTTACATTTGTAACAAATGTATATACATTTACATTTGTGATATTGTTTATATTAAATAAGTTTTTTTCCCATTGTTTAATGTTTATGATTTTGATTTTCTCGAATTCAAACACATTGTAACAAATGTTTTCGTTTTAATTTCAGATTGTATTAAAGGGTCCAAAATCAGTTTTAGATTGTATTGAAGGGTCCAAATTTAGGATGTGATGTTCTGATTTTTGTTTTTTTTATCAGAAGTTTTTTTACATATTTGATACATTTCTGTTTTTTATCATATTTTTTCAGATAATGTAATATATCTTGTTGATTTAATTTCTGATATTTCTATAGTTTATTTAAACACATATTAAATGGATGACTGTTTGCTTGTTTGCAAGTAAAAAGATGGTTGTTTTCAAGTAAAAACAAAATTTATTTCAACACATACTACAAGGGTGATTGTCTTCAAGTAGAAACAATTTTGGTTTTTGTATTAATTTGAAGGAATCTTAATTTTGTGTATTTTGCAATAGAAAATGAAAAGTTATTACTATTTTGCTTAATTTTTTTAGACCTTTAAGTTTTAAGGCCTATTTTTTTTTAAAATTGTAGAGGGCCTCTGAAATCTCAAGACCGCCCCTGATAAGAACCTTATATATATATATATATATATATATATATATATATATATATATATATATATATATATATATATAATCGTAAATTATGAAAATTTAATGTAAGAATAAAAACCTCAAAAAATGACAAATGGAAAATCTACTCTAATAAATGAAGGTTTTTTTTGCCACATGTCACACTTTCATTCAATTTGTCAAATGTCATTTTATGGTTATTTTAAATTAATTTATTTTCCACATGTCATTTTGTGGATTTTCTCTATTTTAATAAATTCCACATAATATTTTAATGTAATAATTACAATAAATATAATAATAAATGAATTTCAATTTCATTAATGGAATTACCTTCTTATTGCAAAATTCTCAAATTAAAGTTTATTAGTTTATTTTTTTTATTTATTTAAATTTAAAAGATAAAAACTCCATTTTAATAATTCATTATATTTCTTATTTTTTTTATAAATCCAAAGTTTTTAAATATTTAGACCTTTATATTTAATTTTTTTTAATTAACTCATGTAATACATGGGTCTTACACCTAGTAAGAAAATAAAAAAAAAAACAAAAAAAAACATGTGACAAAATAAATGAGAATAATACATGTGGCAAAAAAAATAAAAACTTTCATTTATTAGAGATGGTTTTAAGAACAAAAAATTTATAAAATTAATTATAATTTAATAAAACAAAAACATTCCATAATAAAAATTTACATCGTTACTAAAATTTATGATGTTTAACAACAATCCAAACAGCATCATGGGTGCACTTCGCAATTTATGTTGATCGATAGTCGTCTCTAATATAGCAGCTTTAGCATCATTCATACGTTATAAATGCAGTTGAACCGCATCAACTTTCGGTCAGTTTGAATCTCTCCACAGACTCCACTTTGAGTTCAATTGGTGGCAACTGACATGTACGATAGTGTTTCCAATCCATTTGACTGTGAAATACATCCTCCCTACGGCTCCAAAACCATAATCCATGTCGATGCGGGGTCCGACTACATTATCCTCCCAAACAATGATCCAATTAAGAGGCAATGTAATTTCTTAGTCCATAGTCTATAGTTGTGGTACACGGGAAATTTTGGCAGCCGTTTTTTTACAAAAATGTTTAATGAAATTCATGTTAAAATGTGAGTTTGATTTTGGCGGCACCGCCCTAGCCGGCATGATGTTCCCTCCGGCCACCGTCCTCCACGTCGGACCGCACTGTCCTACAGGCTACAGTACTTCCATAACACATAGCCGTATAAGTTATAAGTTGTTAACATGTATTTTATTATGATTTCACTGTTTCAAAAAACAAAACTTCACTATTTAGCTTTATTAAGCTGGTACACTTTTCAAGCTCTTTAAAAGCAAGCATATTTCCTTTTTAATCATTATCTTATTCAAAAATGATTTTTGTCCTAAGTCCTATACAGCTCGATTAACGTCATCTATTTGTATTATATACTACAAATAAAAATGCAACCATTCTTATAATTTTGACCATGACACGTTTAATTAAAAGACTCAATAATCCTCAACCATGTTATGGGTTTGGATGCGGATTTTGTGTAGATCGTATATATGATACGGTTTACTAATTACTATTTCTCAAAACATTCCAACAATATAAAACTTGCTATGAGAGAAGTTTAAGACAAATATAAAATTGATGAATATTCAAAATTGACATGAATGTTTTGTTAACAAACAATCTAGAATATAATATCGTTCGGTTCAAGATGGCGCCTATGCTTGCTATTGCCCCTCTAACTAGAGTCGTTTTGTTCGTCCAATGAGTTTATAGGTGTGAGATAATAATATAATACTAGTAATAATAATGTATTGGTAAACACAATTAAAACAAAACAAATAAAAGAGTTCAATTTCCATCTAAAGCTGTCCATAATAAATCTTTCGACGGACACTACCTACACGTCGAAGTAAAAAAGTACAGTTGGCCGCTACCAAAGTCAAACATGCTATCACCCAATTGATATTGACGTAACATATCATGGAAGGGGATGATTTTTTATTTTTTATTATTTTCTTTCTTCT